GCGCTCATTTTCAACATGAGCTGATACCGCCCCAGCCAAGCCAACATCGACCCCCCCCCCGCCGCCCCTGTAAATTCACGCCTTGCGCGCACAGTCGCACATCGCGAGTCGCTAGTTTTTGGTTGAAATCCTTTTGCGAAAGATGGGCGACGTGTTCGCGCGCGCGCCGTGGCGCGCGCGCATGCCGGAATCCTTCGACGCTCCGAGGTCTCGCGCGGATGTCAAAATCGAGTGTCCCGAGACATTTCTTTTACACATAAGCGCTGTTTCGCAACGCAGTTTTTAGTCTGCGTGCGCCCTCTTGCGAACTCCTACTGCTTAGCGTTTTCATCGCACGAGACCAAGTGCGCCTCTCGCGCGCGCGTCGAAATCATTAGAACGCCCTGGCGCGCGCCGGGGGGAAGGGGCGAGATCCCGGTCGCATCGTGCCGCGCGGGCCACTCGCGCGCGTCGGCCGCGCGCGCATGTCGAAGTCTTACTCGCGCCCTTCAGTTCCGACGCGTGGGCGCCATCATCGTCGTCGGCGCAATCTGCATCGGCGCCGTGAGTGGCCTTGTCGTCGTCACCCCCGGCGCCGCTGCAAGCATCGCCGCCGTCATCGCGGCGTTTGATACCGCGCCAGCCCAAGGCACCGACTCGCCTTGAAGGGCCTCCGCGTCAGCGCGGCCTGCGAGACGCGCCGGGAAGTCTCCGGCGGTCAGCTCCACCGCGGCCGCGTCGGTCGCGCCAGGCCCGCCGGCCGCAGCGACGCGCCAGTCAGCGCCAAGCAGTCATCGCAATTGTCGCCGAGTGGGTTGCGCAGACCAAGGAGCGGGCGGGCGGGCGCGATGTTTACGCGAGCGCGGGGCGCAGTCATGCGCGGAGCAGGCAAGCTGATGCCGCAGCGCGGCGTGCACCTGATAGATTGCGCACCATAGGTCGCGCAACATATTGCACAGCGTAGACTTCGAAAGCGCGCGTTGCACTGCATCGACCGCACGACATCGATTGCACAACATACTGCGCAGCGATGATCACACCACGTGGACTGCGCCACATAAATTGCACAGCAGCGGATATTCTCATTTCGAAGAGGATAGCTATTCTGACTCAGAAGAAATTTGGACATGCCGCCCCCCCTTCTGGTCATATCGCTTCCTCTTGGGATTGTAGAGTTTAAAGTTGGTTCAGCCCCATCGTTCGTTCTAGTCTGTATGAGTTCACATCGCGCCAGCCAGGCGGGCATCGACCCCCCCTCATCCTCGTCAGATAAATTAATGCGCTCGCGCTCGTTTATCGAAAACTATCGGTTGCCAAGATTTCTTCGCAAAATATTGGGCAGTCTCGACGCGCGCGCGGCGTCGCGCGCGCATGCCAGAGCCCTGCAAAACAAACATGAGCCTTCGCAATGGTCCAACAGCCAGGATTCCGAGAACGTGGCGAACACTTGTGTTTTGCAACCTGTTTGTTTCACCCATCTATTCGGTGGCGCTCGTGCGAAATCTGGCGAAGACCAAACCATGGGTTCTCGACATTTTCATCAGACGCGACCTATCGGGCTTCCTGCGCGGGCATGTCGAAACTATTCGAACGCCCCAGCGGGGGGGGCACGATCCTCGCTAATGATACCACGCGGGCTGGTCGCGTCCGTCGGCCGCGCGCGAATCTCAAAATCTTCCCGGAACCTTGATCGCCGACGCGTGGACATCATCGTCGTCGGTGTGATCAGCACCAGCGCCGTCATCAGCGCTGCCGTCGCCACTGTCGGCGTTGCCGCCAGCGTCGCTACGATCCTCATCGCGTCTGCCGTTGTCGACGTCGCCATGATGCCGCGCCAACCCGAGTCACCGACTCGCATTGGGGTGCCCGCGCGTCAGCGCGGCCTGCGAGACGCGCCGGGAAGTCCACAGCGGCGAGCGCCACCGCGGCCGCGCTAACGCGCGCAGGCTCGCGCGCAGTGGCCAGCTAGTCTGGCGAGACCGACGCGGCCGCGGTGGCGTTGACCGCTGGGGATTTCCCAGAGCGTCTCGCAGGCTGCGCTGACGCCCGGGCACTTCAGTGTGAGTCGGTGACTCGGGTTGGTGCGGTATCGTGGCGACGTCGACAACGGCCGACACGGTGATGATTGCAGCGGCGCTTGTGACGACGATGACAATGACGACGGCAAGGCCACTGACGACGCCGAGGTTGACCACGCCGATGACGATGATGGCGCCCACGCGTCGGCGATGAAGGCTGCGAGAAAGAATTTCGACGCGCGCGCGCGGCCGGCGGGCGCGAGTGGCCGCATGCAACTATTTCACAGAGGTCGTGCCCCCCCGCAGCACGCAAGCACCCGCTTTCGAATGATTTCCACATGCGCGCGCGGGACGCACGTTCGGTCGACCTTGACGAAAGAGTAAGAAAACCACGGTCCTTAAGAATTCGAAGAACGCGCGCGCAGACTTTTTTGCGAAACGCCACGTTGCAACACGTTGTGTGTGTGTTTACGTGTATTGGGGGCACTGGATGTTAACATCCGCGCGTGGCTCTACAGGTTTGGGTGGGTGGGTAGGATGATTGCGCGAGCAGTTGAGTTCACAAGTGCTTGCGACGCGAAACTACTTAATTCTCTTTTCTACGAAAAGAATAGACTCTACATCCCCGGCGTTATCGGCTTCCCTTTCGGGTATGTAGATCATATGTGATTCTGACCACATGTCCATCCTAAATATGCATTTGTACTATCCCAGGGGTGCGGTATCGACCCCCCTGAGATTCCCTTGTAAAAAACGATATGCGGGGACATCTTTTGTTCTAACATAACAGTGTTTCACGAATCCCTTGCAAAACATGGGACGAAGTGCGCACGCGCGCGCCGTCGCGCGCGCATGCCGAAATCCTTCAAAAACCTTCGGTGTCGGAAGGATTTCGCAACCGAGTTTCCAAAAAACATACAACAACACAAGGTTTCGCAACACTGATTTGCTAAAAAAACTTATGCGCGAGTTCTTGCGAAATCTTAAGAGAACCATTGACTTTTCAAGATTTCCACAACATGCTACCAAACGCGCTTCGCGCGCGCATGTCGAAATCTGTCGAACGCCCTTGCGCGTGTGCCGTCGCGAGAATCCTTTGCAACGAACGGGACGAAATGCAGACGCGCGCGTCGTCGCGCGCGTATGCCGAAATCCTTCAAGACCCATCGGTTTCGGAAAGGATTTCAACATCGTGTGTCAAAAACCAACAAAATCACAAGGTTTCGCAACACTGATTTTCAACAAAAGCGTGCGCGCGCGCTCTTGCGTCGTCGTTGTCGTCGTCGTCGCCGTCCTCCCTCCTCCCGCGTCGTCGTCGTCGCCTACGTCGTCCTGTGTCTTTCTTCGTGTTCATCGTCGTCGTCCTCTTTGGCGTCGTGGTCGTTTCCGTCGTCGTTGTCGCCGTGGCCGTCCTTCCTCCTCCCCCCTCGTCGTCGTCGTCGTCGTTCGTCGTCGGCGTCTCGTCGTCGTCCCTCCTATTTCGTCGCCGTCATCGTCGTCGTCGTTGTCGTCGTCGTCTTCCCTCCTCCCTCGTCGTTGTCGTCGTCGGCGTCGCCGTCCTTCCTCCTTCTTCGTCGTTCGCGTCGTCGCCGTCCTCCCTCCTCCCTCGTCGTTGTCGTCGTTGTCGTCGTTGTCGCCGTCGTCGTCCTCCCTCCTCCCTCGTCGTCGTCTTCGTTGGCGACGTCGTCGTCGTCTTCGTCGTCGGCGTCGGCGTCGTCGTCGTCTTCGTAGTCGTCTTCGTTGTCGGCGTCGTCGTCGTCGCCGCCGTCGTCGTCGTCGTCGTCGTCGTCGTCGGCGTCGTTGACGTCGTTGTCGTCGTCGTCGTCGTCGGTGGCGTCGTTGTCGTCGTCGTCGGCGTCGTCATCGTCGTCGTCGCTGTCATCGTCGTCGTCGGCGTCGTCGTCGTCGTCGGTGTCGTCGTCGTCGTTGTCGGCGTCGTCGAAGTCGTTGGAGACGTCGTCGGTGTCGTCGTAGTCGTTGTCGGCGGCGTCGTCGTCGTCGTTGTCGCTGTCGTCGTCGGCGTCGCTGTCGTTGCCAAGTGCCATTTGGTACCCACCGTCACGGTCTTAAGAGATTCTGCAAACCAAGTTGCGGGTGGGTGGGTGGGATGTTTGCGCGAGCAGTGGAGTGGACAACTCATTGCGAACAGAAATTAATTGCACCACATAGGTTGCGCCACGTACATGGTTCCACTTCCACTGCGCAGCATACATTGCTAGAAACAAATTGTTTGTGGTCCGAGCTGGGTTGCACTTTCCCCACTGCAATCGTCTATCATCCGTCTTCCGTCCTCGCGGGGAACTCAACCCTCTGGTGAAATTCTTCACACAGCTAGGAAAGGGAGCCCCGTCGTGCAAGCTTCGCATGGGTTGTGCGTGTCAGCCAGCTACAAGATCCTTGACGGCATACGCCGTGTGTTGCGCCGTCGGTTGCGCTAAAAGCCCCGCGGGCAACCATTTCGTCCGTTTCTTCATGCGTCAGTGTTGTATCAGGTCTGCCAGCGGTTGCGCCATGGGCGGGCCTGCCATAGGTTGCGCCGTAGGTTGCGCCAGACACCACGCGGGTAATCGAATCAACAGTTCCTACATCCGGTGTTTCAGCGGGTGTGCCACAGGTTGCACCATAGGTGGGATTGCTGAAGGTTGCGCCATAGGTTTCACCAGACACCCCGCGGGCAACCAGGTCGTTTTGTTCCAAATTCGGTGCCCCTGTGGGTTTGCAATCAGTTGCGCCATAGCTGGGTCCGCCAAGTGTTGCGCCATAGGTTGCGCAAAACACTCCGCGGGCAACCGAATCGGCTGATTCCACATTCGGTGTTGCAGCGGATCTGCCATACGTTGTGCCATGGGTGTGTCTTCCATAGGTTGTGCCGCACACCCCGCGTGCAGCCACGTCGCCCGGTTCCACACTCGGTGTAGTTTTCAAGATTCAAGTATACAGAATCTTCACAACACGCGCTGCCTGGGCGAGACAAATCGTAAGGGAAACGACGACGGCCTCGAGATGTTGCTGTGCGTGTTCGAGGGATCGGTGCTGAGAAATGTACGACCTGGCCGCCTGCCCGTCCCGTTCCACCACGGGGTCTGGCCGCCGCTGACTTCCTGGCGGTCGCGCCCCAGCGCAGCGGCCGCGGAACGCCACGACCTCGGAGGCCTACAGGTTGGCACCAGCACCAGTGTCGGCGGTGTGCATCCACAGAAGGAGGTTTGTCCCGACCTTGGTGATGGTGGCATTGCCGGGGCTTCCCAACTGGCCGCAAGACTTACCACCACTACCAACATCTCTTGGCATCGCTCGGACGTGTGCATTTTTCCTTCGGCGAGGACCATCGAGGCGCATCCTTGATCATTTGGCGAAAAAGCCACGCACGAAACCGGGAAAAGCACAGGGAATGGACGTCCGAGCGATGGCCAGCATCTAGGAGCATCCTCGGTGGACGCACCCCCCCCGTTTCGGTGCTGGTGCCCACCTCCGAGCCTCCAGGCAGCTTCCTCGCCGCCCTCGACTCCGCGGCGCGGCGCGGGGCCCTGCCGGGCGCGCGCGGGGTGCCGCACGGCCGCGGCGGAGGCCGCCGCGAGGCGCGCGGCCGGGACGGGCCACAACGCGGCGGAGGAGTGTGGCGGCGTGCTCCCCGGGGCCTCGGCGAGGCCAGCGACGTGCGCTGCGTGAGGGGGCGCGGGGCGTCGAGAGCATTCCGAGGCTTGGCATCGCTCGGACGTGTGCATTAGTTTCCTTCGGCGAGGACCATCGAGGCGCATCCTTGACCACTTGGCGAAGAAGCCACGCACGAAACCGAGAAAAGCACAGGGAATGGACGTCCGAGCGATGGCCAGGAGGGGGCTGCCCGGCGGGGCCGCGCGCGCCGGCGGCCCGCGGCGGCGCGGCCTAGCTCCTCCCCTCGCTGCCGGCGCCCGGCACGGGCGCCGCAGCCGCAGGGGAGCCCCCGTCCGGAAGGAGGCCCGGTGGGGTCGGTGTCTCCCCGCTGCGGCGGGGGGCGGCGGGAGGTCGGCGCAAGGAGGGCGTCGGAAAGCGTCGCGAGAGGAGGAGGAGGAGGAGGAGGAGGAGGAGGAGGAGGAGGAGGAGGAGGAGGAGGAGGAGGAGGAGGAGGTCGGCGCAAGGAGAGCAGGGGCGGCGCTGCGCTGGCGAAGAGCGTCGGGAAGCCAGCGGAAGAGGGCAAGAAGAGAAGGTGCGCCCCCGAAAAGAGAGACGGCAAGGATTTGGGGCTTCGTGGCTTCCGGAGGGGGGCCACGTGCTGACCCTGTCTACCCCTGCGGGTGCAAGCGACACTGCGGCACCCGACACCCCCCCCACGGGGGAACAGTTCTCCCACGGGCACCCTTCCGAGTTCGAGCCCTCGCTGAGGCAAGCGAAGCACGCATGCTTCAGAGAGCGGATCCGAAGGGGGTGAGACTCGCACATGATGAGTGTCTGAAGGTCGAAGCTTCTGGGCGCACGGCGCTCAGTTTTCAAGAGTCGGCGCAGCATCAAAGAGCACCCCTTGGACTGTGATTGGGTTCTGTTCTTGGCGATCCCCGCCCCAGAGCGTGTGGCGGGATGCCCGAGGAGCAGCGGGCCCCTGGGGCCTGGCGGCCGCGGCATGCCGTCGGCACCGCGTCGAAGACGTGCGGTGGTGTACCCTGAGGGGCGCGGGGACCCGCAGGGCCTGGCGGTCGGGATTTGCGGGATGTGCGAGGCGGGGAGGAGGAGGAGGAGGAGGAGGAGGAGGAGGAGGAGGAGGAGGAGGAGGAGGAGGAGGAGGAGGAGGAGGAGGAGGAGGAGGGTCGGGCTGGAATTTGCGAGTGGAGCAGAGCAGCGCGGGGACCCGGAGGGGCGCGGGGACCCGTACAGTCGGGGCCCTGAAGAAGGAACCCTTTTCGTCGGGGAGGGGCTCCGCGTTCCTTAAGTGTTTCACAGCTTGCCTCAGGTTTTCCTCTGGTTTTCGACAGGAATTCGAAGGTTAACTTGTGGGAAAAAGGGGCCTCGTTCCTTATTTAGGGTTCCTTAGGTCAACGCCCCGACTGTAGGGCCTGGCGGTCGGGATTTGCAGGATGTGCGAGGCGGGTCGGGCGGGAACTCGTGAGTGGAGCAGCCAAAGCGCGGCGCGCCCCGCCTAGCCGCCAGGCCGCGGTCTCCCCTGCAGTCGCCCGTCCGCTCCGCGTGGCTTCTGCCGTGCTGCTGTCGGAGGTTGACAGACCTGCTGCCATGACGCGTCGATTAGCGAATTGGCCGTTTTCGGCTCGCGAGAGGGCGTCGCGGTCGTCATTTTTGCGGGTCCAGGTCCGTCGATTTCGGCCCTAGGTCGTTTTCACTAAGGGGAGGTTTACTAAAGGGAGGTTTGTCCACCGCCGAGCTGCTGGCTTGTGTGGCATTCTTCCGCTCTGCTCCTGTGTGCCGGCCGCGCCGAGGAGGGATGCGTTGGTCGCCCCTTCTTCCCCCAGCGCAAAAGGCGTCAGAGCCGCAATCCATCAGGGCAGGGCGTGGCAGTGGATAACTCCTGCTTCGGGCCTCACATGGCGGAGGTGGGCTCACTTCCATCCTTCTGTCCTCCGCTGGAGCATCGCCCGCTGGCGAGTGGCGCCGTGTCGGCAGCTGTTCGCCCCTCCGGCCTGCAAGTCACAGGTCAGAGCAAAAGACATGGCGATTTACTTGAGCTCGCCTCCCGCTTTAGCGCCCGGAGTGTCTCCGGACTGCAACTAACGTGCTCTCGCGAAGCAGAAGTTATCCAGGATCAAGCGGTCTTAGGGGTTTCCCAGATCAGATGTTGGGACCCGCAGGCAGGGATTTACTTGGACCAGGCCTATCCTGGATTGTCTGGTGCCCACAGGAATTCCGACGTGGTGCGAAGAAATGTACGCAAGATGCCGGGCGAGAGGGAGTGCATCCAGCATTAAGTCGGGCCTGTCCTTCCACAGTAGGAATATTCAAAAATAGTAGAAAATAGTCTGGGGACGATATTTAGATTATTGCTTGACATGTTTGAACATGTCTTGACTATTTTTCCATTTTTCCTCCCACATCCGACTGTCGGGGGACATGCCAGACCTAACACCATGAAGCCTCTACAGATCAACCCTGGGTCAAATTCTTGGTCGACATCGGCCTGCGGTGGGGCCCGGGCTGCCATATCAGCCAAGCTATTGGTCCCGAGCGGATGCGTGGAGGCTTTGCGCTCGTAGACTCCTCCTCCTCCTCCTCCTCCTCCTCCTCCTGCACCTCCTCCTCTTCCTCTTCCTCCTCCTCCTCCTCCTCCTCCTCCTCCTCCTCCTCCTCAGCACCTCCTCCTCCTCCTCCTCCTCCTCCCACCCTTCTCCTCCTGCCCTCTTCCTCCTCCTTCTCCTCCTCCTCCTTCGCCTCCTCCTCCTCCTCCTCCTCCTCCTCCTCCTCCTCCTCCTCCTCTTCCTCCGCCTCCTCCTCCTCCGCCTCCATCCTCCTCCGCCTCCTCCTCCTCCTCCTCCTCCCCTCCGAGGCCGAGAGGGCACTGCACCGTCTCGCCCCGACTCCCAGCCCCACGAGGGGGGCCTGATCTGCCCTGGTAATCATGTCGGGCCTGTCCCTCTACAGGAGGAATATTCCAGAATTGTCAAAAAATAGTCAGGGGACGTTTTTTCGGTTATTTTTGGAGTATTCGTTTGAATCTGTTTTGGCGTATGTTTTAATTGTCGTCCAAAGTCCGCCTGTAGGGGGACATGCCCGACCTGACTCGAGTTTTTGGCGCGGGTCTGACAAGGAATTGGTCGGTCGTCAGAGGAGGAGCGGGAGGAGGAGAACGCTGCCAACTTCTAGATGCTTCTCCGAACCACGCGGCCGTCCTGCTCGCGGTCCAGACCACGGCGAGGTTCTCCGATCCCGAGAGATTGGAAAAACCAAGCCCAAGAAGGCATGGCGGCCTTAAATGGTCTTCAGCAGCAACCGGACGTCAAGGAGAGTGTTTTTTTTGAAACCAGTTGAACCCGCAACGGCCGTCACCGGGGGTCGCGTCGCCCCCACGGGGGGTCGCGTCCCCCCCCCCCGTAACAGTAACGTACGTGCGCGTAGGCGTTGCTGGGTCCGTGCTGTGGTGCTGATGGTGTGGGGAAGTCGGCGTTGCGTATCACCGCCAGTCCATTCAGAAACGATGCCCCGGGAGGTTGTTTGGATCAGGGGCTGGACGAGCTCATAGTGCAAACTAGATGGCCTGGTTTTCCCTGGCCCTGCCCGAGCCCAGGGCCATCGTCGGTTTTCGGGGCCATGGCTACGTTCCCCGATCCTTATCCTCGACTTCTCGCCCGGGCAATGATTGTCCCGGGTATCTCCTTTCTGTTTGCGCGTGTCTGTGCAAAGGGGGCATGATGTGTCCGGCCAGGCCGGCGCCTACAGCAAGCAGCAGCAGAATCATGGCAACACCATGGGAGCCTCGCGGCTGGTCTCCGTTCCCTGTCCTTTCTGGGGGAAATTACGTTCACAGTGAAGCACAAGCACCCCCAACCGCCGCCTCGGTAGAGTCCGTGCTGTGTGCCGTGCCACTCGATCCACCTGTGAGTCGCGACGTGCCGTGGCGTGCGGGGCTCCCATGGTGCCACCACTGGTGGTGGGACCGGGCGCTCCGTGCCCCCTGTGGTTCCCTAATTGAGGGCGGCAGGGGGAGCATGCGGTCGACAGAAGGGCCGCAAGCCACCTCCGAGACGATTTGCTGGCGCCTGCCGCGCGCAGCCTGCAGCCACGATGGGTCCAGCGCGCCACGCGTGGCGCGCGCCTCTGCGTGTGGCGCCAGCGCAGGAGAGCGTGTGGTGGGCCGAGCTCTCGCCGACGAAGGCCCTGCTTTGACGTCTAGAATTAGGATGTTCCAGCCTGCTTTCTAGCCCAGAGGACCAGACATGATTACGAGCACCAAGAACCTGCCGCAACGGGAGGGTTTCACGTGTCGGGCCCTGGGAGGCGGTGCTCGTTCGACGCTCCTTCGAGACTCTTCTGGGTGCTCGAACGTATTTCTGGGATGTGGCCCTTGAGTGCGATGGGAGCAACAGAAGTCTAGAAGCCAGAGAGAGAGCCGTGAAAAGCAAAACTATAGAGGGCCGGCGGACGATTTTCGGACGACGCCTGCCGCGAGGGGGCCGCCCCTGGAAAGCTACATATACGGTAGGTTCGCGTCGCGTCGACCGGCGGCGACCCCGCCCGCGGCGTTCCACTTTGAACGCCGCGGGCGACCCAGAATCGTTCGATGCTGAACATTTGGACGTTGCGGAGACGGCCGATCGTTCGAGGTTGAGCGATCCCCGCGGTGTCAGAAGCCAACGCCGAAGTCGGCACGACACGAACCTGCCGTATACCCACTACCAGACAAATAGCAGTGTACTCGAACACAGTCGGGGCCCTGAGGAAGGAAGCCTTTCCGCTGGGGAGGGGCTCCGCGTTTTTTAAGTGTTTCGCAGCTTGCCTCAGGCTTCCCTTATGTTTTCGGTCGGAAATCGAAGTTGAACTGTTGGAAAAATAGGGGCCTCGTTCCTTATTTAGGGTTCCTTAGGTCAACGCCCCGACTGTACTCCACTCCGCAGCCAGTCTGGCCCAGGGCAAACTTCAAGCACCTGAGCGGGGCTCTCAGATTGCGCGTGCCGGCCCAGGCCCTCCCCGGCAGCGCAGGACTCGGCTACACGTAAGAGGGGCCCTTCGCCGGAGCGACCTTTGGTGCGGGCCCTTTGGGGTCCCCCGGCCGCCGAGCGCGACTGCGATGGTAACGTCTTGCGCGCTCGTGGTTGGCCCCCCCGCGGCCCCTCAAAAGCCGCGCACCAAAGGTCACTCTTGCCCAGGGTCACTCTTGCGTGCAGCCGAAGGAGGCGGACCACGCGCGCAGTGCTCACTGCGGCGTAGGGGTCTGGAGAGCCGCCGGAAGCCGGGCGTTCACTATAAAAGCTT